AAATATTTATTAATACAAAATTTCATCCAAATCATCGGAACTGCTTTCGAGAAACCAATTACGAATATAGTATAATAAGTGTAGGATTATATTACATATTGCAATCTGTATTTAATATTCTCCTTTAGCTATGAAGTGAATTAGTTCGCAACATAGCGATGCAAATTTCCGATTTGCATAAAGCTGTTTGCATTAGTATATTGTTTTGCTTGATTCAATAAATTGATTATTCCACTTTATCGGAATTCAAACATTTTATTATCTACGAATTAATTTATTTATTTTATATTTTTATCCGAGCCGTGGTAGTCGAAGGGACTAAGCGCTCGCTATTAATTTTCAGTACATAAGTTCGGTTCTACTTCCACCGGAATGTTTGGCATTGAAGGAAATCCGTTACCGTACAACTTTAATAAAGTCCACTGATTAACATAGGCCTCCCCCACAGATTGTCTTATAGAAGAAATAATTGCCATAATTGCCACGCTTGGCAAGTGGACTTGCAATCGCATTATTTTGTTTTTAGTCGTTATATTATTATTCCTATACGCTGCTGCCAATCACCAGATTTTATTTCCTCTGTCGCCTCTTACGACACTCATGATATGAGTAAGTGGATATTCTTACACCGCCAAAAGAAAATCGCAATGTAAGGAAAATTCAAAAATTATACTTACTTAAATAAAATGTGAATAGAATTTATCCGAATGTATGTAAGATATTGACATTATTTATAGATATTTCTTTTGATAATAATGAAATGATAAACGAACTTATCTTCAACTAGCCGCGGTTGCTCAGGACCTGGGTACTTGCTGTAAATTACTCAGTAAGCAAGCAACCAGCGTCTATGAAAATTTCAAGAGCTGATTTTCCACGTGCCCGGTGGTGAAGGGAACCACTATGGAAAAATATTTTGAGAACGTATGAAATCTGCTAAAACGCTTTGATGTGGCGCGGTGGTCGCTTCCTTGTTCTAAGAATCCTCTAAAAAAAAGCGAAGAAACCTATACCCAGGAGTGGGGTCCTGTATATACATACATAAGGGCATATTCAACTACTACCCTACTACCCTACTCACTTTAGCTTTTTACTTTTAATGAACTTACTTTCTTAGTCTAGTAATTAGAGATGTGTATTGGAAAGCTACTGTAAAAGAAAGCAGGTTGCGTTTTTGGTTCTAACGTATTCGTTCTGGAAATTTTGACCTGCAGAACAAACCCCGGAGACGACCGAAGACCGTAGTTGACAATGAAGAATTAAATGTGATAGTGGAAGAGGATCCATCGCAAAACACATCAGAGTTAGCGACAGGCTTCGTTGTGAGTGATAAAAAAATGTTTATTCATTTGAAACCAATTAGAAAAGTGAAATAGCTCAAAAAGTGCCGCATAAATTGTGTGAAGCGCACCAACAAACACGCGTCGAGTGCTGCATTACATTTCTCAACCGTCGCAGTAACGAGGGAATTTGGAATTGTTACTTGTGGTTAATCGGATACTCATCACAATGGTGGACCACCCAGGAAAACAACCTAAATTCTGCCCCAAACGAAAGTTGACTCAGAAAAAGCTACTGGTAAGTATCGTCGACTAGTTCTGGTGTCATCCACTTCAACTTCCTAAGATCTGGCTAGGCTATTACGGCAGATCTGTATCGTCACCAATGGGAAACCATAATGGAAAAGCTATCCGTAAAACGACCGGGGTTCAAGACAATTGCTGTGGCCCACTGCTGCTTTAAGCTAGACCATACACAGCACAATAGACGGTCGCTAAATTAGAGGAGTTGCGATTGGAATGTCTCCAATACCCACCGTACTTCCTGAACCTTACTCCAACAGATTACTTTTCTTTTTTCGGAATTTTGATTTTATTGCAAGAAATTCAATTCCGATGGGGCAGTCAAATCCGTCTTGAAATGTGTTATAGATAACAGTGCTACTTACTTTTATTGATTAAATTAATATTGTTAGGAATGAGGGTAAAATAATAAAAGAAAATAAGAAATATTGAAGGTAGAACTATAATCTCCCACTTGTTTTAGCAGTATAAAATATCACGCAGTCGACTAAGAGGGATCAGTCAGTCTGTAATTCTACGAATCTCATATCGTTATTATGCCCGTTGGGCTAAAACATTACTTCTACTCTGAGATTCTGCCCAAATAACACAAGTGATGCGGTTCTATTCGTGTAGTAGTTCTTCTAGTGTAAGCAAGGGAGATCGTGTTGCTGAGAGGCTGCCCGGTGTTACATAGAGAGAATAGTGTAGCTGTTGCTTTGCATACTTTGGTGTTATCATGTAATTATGTTCTTCACGTTACACCGATGTGTGATTGTGTCTGGTATATATTACGGTTGGTCGAACTGTATTTGCTCTATACTAAATGTATAGTGCTGAACGTTGTCTTATTTCTGATAATGATCAATTGCGTAAGCAACAGAGCAAGTTGAACACCCGCTCTCACACTTTTATTATTTTTAACAATTAACCGTCAGAGTAAATTTTAATACGAGTAACATTATTTTATTTCAATCATTTTGAGAATAATTTCTAACATCAGAAGTGTAATAGTTTCTAATAATATTTTTAATTTTTTTGCTTTGTTTATATATAATGTCAATTAAATATGTAAGGACCTAATATTTACTCGACTCTTAGGATTTCTTCAAGCTCGTATGCCAACTTTAAGGTTGTACACAAAACAAAGTATGTAAAGTAGAATTTAATTTTAGTATAGTAAATCATAACTGATGACCAGGGTATCAAAGGATAATTGATTAAGTAGTTTTTAAATACATTATTAGAAATAATTCCTCATAAAGAAACAAAGAAGATGAATTCCTTGAAGTTGACTTTTAATATTTATTTAATGATTACATTATCATTATCATTACAGTCCTTTACAAGGCCACTGCTGAACTTAGGCCTCCCTGAAGGAATGTCACAAAGCACCCGCATTTATCGACTTTCTGCATGTCTTACCAGGTCGTCACACTATCTAGTGGGGAGCCGCCTTTCACTTCGTCTGCCGGTATCGGTAATCGATTATCGGTTCTTCGAACTATTTGGCAGGCCCATTATCATTTCAGTTTACTAATTCTTTGGACTATGCTATTTTCGAAAAATTACAAACATTAAAATAATCTCACATAGTGAAGTAGGTGCTAAGTCTGCATTGACTTTTTAATAGTTTTTTTTTAATGGGATAAATATTTTAGGGCGAAACAACAATGTCGTCTAAATAGTTACATTAAAAATTTCATCCCTCATTTTGCCACACTTAGAGGTAGAAATATTTCTCCAAGTCTATACGGAACCACACATGAAGTATAAACTATTTAATAAAAAAGAATCATCAATCATTTAAGCTTTAAAGTCGAAATTTGAGTTTGGCCCGTATGTTACATAATTTTTACATTGTGAAATGTCTGCATAATTTTTCTACAAAATTCTTACTCTGAAGAATGTGGAAATAGCGTCAGTTTTGGTGAATCCAATTTATGTGAACATAGGCTTTTGTAATCCAATTAAAAATTAAATCTGGCAACAAACAAATGTCAACGGCCCCAAATTTTAAACTTTTATAACATTTGCTCAGCATTCTTAGAACAATCTAAATAGAAAAAGAAATTGGATTGGATGTGAATTACAATGAAAAACACAAAATTCTATTTCATTTCCATAATGATGTTGTGTATTTTAACAATTTAGGGGCCGTGTCTAATATCCACTACTCCATATTATCGTCACGTAGGTGTCGTTAGAGCCGATAGAGAGAAACTGAAACAAGAGATGAGCAACAGTATCTTTTTAATATCGTCTCAAATTATAAGAAGCTGTGTTTGCCAAACCGCTTGCCAAACGTGGCAACTATGGAAAAAATCCCCCTATAAAAAATCACTTGTGGGAGAAGCCTTTGATCGGCAGTGGACTTTTATAGGCTATAAAGAATGGTATACTTACCGAGTATGCATCTCCATGTAAATAATTGTTCGCGTGTTTTTCTTCTTTGTATTTATAAAAACAAAAATATGCGAACGACGTTTAATTATTTTAACTCCAGCTTTGAAGCATTGAACTCACAATAAGTAAAGTGTTAAAAGTTTTGATGTAATACACTTACACAGTAAGGCAGCGGGTTGTCAACAAAAGCTACGAGTATTAAGAGAGCGAAATTATTTTTGCGCTCTTATGCCTGTAGCACACCTCCGATCCGCTGCGAAACTCAATGGGCGAAACCGCAATAGTTTCGCTGTGAGTTGTGAGTTCTTTGGCGGTGAAACAATAACGAAATTCCCTGCTCTAACGTACAAAACTGATGTTGTCTCTTTCTAACATGATTTCGCTCATTTGCTCAGGCGCCGTCTACATCTCCGCCCGTTGTCCGCCATTTTGGAGCAGTTCCGCGTGTAACTCGGACGCGTCTGTAGCAATCGACAATTTTTATGAGCGAAATAGGAACCGCCGCAAATGATGATCGTGCGCGGTTTCCATTGAGTCTGTTTTGTGGAAGAAAGGCTCCAAGCTGTTCTGTTTCCAAACCAGATCTTACACGTTCGGTTGACGCTTTTGTCTGTATAAAATTGTGTAAACAACAAGCTGCTTTCACAATTTTTATGGTATTTCTCAAATCTGTTTCAAAGGGTCTTAAGAATATCCTAAATTTTTGTGCCATTATCCCAAATGCATTTTCCACAACTACCCGTGCTGTACTAAGCGACTGATTAAATATCTTTTTATCTCTATCTTGCAAAGCTGCATCTCTTACAAAAGGTCTCATCAAAAAAGTTTCAAGTTTAAATCCACCATCGCCTAAAAAAATATAAGGCAAAAAATCTGTTTCTTCTTGTAATGGTCGTGGATTTGGTATATTAAGTTAGCCGCTCCTTAATAATCGAGCAAAAGATGTTGCTTCAAATATAGTACTATCGGCATCTTTCCCATATGATCTAACATCTACAAAAATAAATTTATAATTGGCATCTACCACAGCCATTAAAACAATTGAATATTTACTTTTATAACAATAAAACATTTTATGGTTATGTGTTTTCCATCTATGCTACCAAGGCAATGAGGAAATCCCCATTTTTGAAAAAACTCTTCTGCCATATTCAGCCAATTTTCCTCTGTGGGTATTGGAAGGATAAGTGGTCGTAACGTATTCCACAATTCTTTACAAACTTCAGTCACTATTTTCGAAACTGTTGAATTACCCATACGATAAGAAAAAGATAGTGTCTTGTAGGTGCCTCCAGTTCCCAGAAACCTGTAACAAATAAAATTAAGTTGGAGGAAAACTGTTGCTGAATATATCTATTTTTTTATACCACATAGGTGGCAAACAAGCATCAGTGGTTTGTATGCTTCCTCCACCAGTGGTGGCGGAAGCATACAAAGTAATGCCACTAAATAACGCAAAGTAACGCCTAAATCAATTAATTATCTTCTTTGTTTTAGTTCCAGGATTAAAAGCAAAATGGAAAAATTTAAAAGATACTTTCGGAAAATTCAAGCAATCCAAACACAGCTCCAGTGGCCAAGCAACAAAAAAACTACAGAATTGGGCCTGGGCTGAACAAATGTCATTTCTTGAATCATCTACTACCCCCAATCAAACGGAGAGCAGCATTGTTATGGATAATGAATCTTCAGAACACGAAGAAACAAGCCGTACATATTCTTCGGTGGCAAAAGAAGAGTCAGTCAATCAACCTACACCCTCCACTTCTTACGACGCGATAACCGTACCTGAAAATACACAACAATCCGGCTCATCACATCAAATATACAGGTGACAGCGAAGAATAAAAATGAATCCTACAGAAAGAATGGTTGAGTACTTAGAAAATAGAAGGAAACAAAACTCTAATTATGAGAAAGTTACGGTTAAATGCGACGGCATTAATTTGTTATTTTTAGGTTATGCAGACTCTTTTAAAAAACTAAGCAAACGGACTCAAGTAAACGTTAAATTCGATATCGCAAAAATATTGATGGAAGCTGAGCTTAATGATCTTGAGACTGCTGAAAGAAACACATCTTCACGTACTTCAAACTACTCAAATGATATGACCATTCATGCTCCTGCTACTCCGGGGACCCACTGGGGAAGCAACACATCTTCACATACAACAACATACTCAAGCATTCATGCTCCTATTATTTAAAATGACAGTGAGGCAGCACATCAAGATTCTTACGACAGTAATACAACAAACATACATGCTCTTGTTACTCCGGGAAACTACTCCTTGATAAGTAATGACAGTAATACCGCCGAACCTACTGATTTGAGTAATCTACATATTTTTCTCAATTTTCTTCATTATAATTGTTTTTAATTTTAATTTTGTAACTTTAACTTTAATATAGGCACTTACCTCAAAGTTAATCCCAGTCTTTCTTTGCTAGAAATAGCATCTCTAAACCTTGTATCTTGTTTAGTAATACAAGGTTTTATAAGGTTATGTAACTCTTCAAAACTGTCTGGTGTCATTCTGAAGTAAGAATAAAAACGGTCTTCATGTGACTGTAACTCTTTACATAATATATTTTCACCCAACTTCTTTCTTTTTTTATTGATATGATGCACCCAGGTACGACGCCTTTTTAAAGTAGTTGACCACAGTAAGATTAGTTCCTCCTCTGACTCCGAAAGCGACGACATTTTCTTTCGATTGTTACTCGTATTTCTCAACTGTTCTAGTTTTAGGTTTCGCTAATATAGTTTCGCGTTTGTGAAGTACTGTTGCACAGCGAAACTCACGCAGCGGTTTCGCAGTTGTTGTTTCGCGGCGGAGGTGTGATATAGGCATTAATGCGAATCTCGAGGCGCAGCACAGCGCGACGCCGCGTCGCGTAACTTTTTCGAATTATCGCAATAAAATGTGTATCATCTTTTATAATTAATTAAAATATATTTTGAATCACGATCTTAAAAAGTAGACCCTAAATATATATAATTTTTTTATCTAAATTATAAAAATATTATTTATAGTTTACAAAATATAAAATATATGTTTTTTAAAATACAATTCCAGTGAATATATTTAAACTTAACATTTTTTTTGTCACAGATTTGCTTAGGATTCGGAGAAAATGTGATGTACCGTTTCATTGTCACTTAAATTTTTTGTCAATATAATAATAAAAATACATATATCTATACATATATAATAATAAATATAAATATACGTATATATAACGTAGTAGCGGTTTAAGAGAATCCATTACTTTATATCATCCCGTGGATGTCGTAAGAGGTGACAGAGAGTAATGAAACAGGACAGCAGAATGTTCCTGATAGACTTTTGAAATAATTTTAATTAAAATAAAATAATCTGCGGCTGCCAACCCGCCTTCCAAACGTTGAACCATCTATGGTGATTACACCACATATAAATATGGGAGAGGTCAACAGTACAACGGCTTTTTATTGACTATTATGAATATATAATGAATATAAACACAGCCCCACGTAATGTAGTAATATTTACTTTACCCCTAGAGGCTCCTGTTGAACAGAGAGATTTTACGGACGATGAACAAGAGAGAAAACACATTATTCGTGATTTGAACACACGAAATTAAAACAGAAATTTAATGGATTTACCATGTAGTGGAAGTGTAAGAATTTCCACTACACCATATCATCCCGTGGGTGTCGTAAGAGGCGACAGAGGGAAACAAACCAGGAGACGGGCAACAGCGCCTTCCTAATAAAGACTAAAAATAAAAAACTGCGGTGGCCATCTCGCTTGTCAGGCTTGTAACTATGGAAATTATCCCACTATGAAACAATCTATGGGGGAGGCATATAACGATAATGGTAGCAGAAATTTAATATTTTTGTTATAATTTTAATAATTTACCATTATTTGAGTCTAGTTGTGGCATTCGGAGTGATCCCGTTCATATAAACGCACATATTTTTGCCTACTTTTTTCATTTCGGAGTCTTGTTCTTTGTTCATAATTATCATCTGTCATTTTGTTATTTTATCATAACAGCTGCAGATAACTGTAATCTGTGTAGCAAGGGCAATACTGACATTGATCTGTATACCCACAACAATTCCGTCGTTAACCGTAATTAATGAGACAACAAGATAGTCATAATATATTCATATCTATACATTTCAATATAAAGCAGTAGGCGTCAGTTTAATCCTTGATTGAATATTCCGTACGCATAGTCAGACCGGATGATAACCGTTGCGATATACGGTATGCTAGCCCAATCATTTATTGTTTAAAAACAGTTATAAAATTAGTTCTTCTTTTTCTACTACAGATACGTCATCAAGCCGTAAAGGCGAGTACGCTTTAATACAGACTCAGCCAAATTCACGCGTACAAATTCTGATTACGTGACCAGTATACACGTTGATTAAATTTGTAAAACTTGCCGGACTTTTAATACACTAAATTTTATGACGGCTCCGTGGCGCAGTGGCTTAGCAATGAGTTGCAACGCTAAGGGCCGCGGGTTCGAATCCCGCACGGAACAAGTATTTGTATAGCCTACAAATAACAGTTCTGGGTCTGGACGTTTGTCCTTGTAAAATATATGTATGTAAACTGCCCCCGCGATGCAGGATAAAATCCTAGTGTGGAGGTAGTTTCTTTAGACAAAAGATAAAGGTAAATTATAAATTTGTTTGAAGTAGAAGCAAGAAATAATATATGGAGATTTCATAATATGAGAAATAAGCATTATGATTTCAGCGCTATCATCATTACAAACCTTCACGATTTCATTGCCGAACATTGGACTCCCATAAGGAATACCACACAACATGACTATGAGTACCTGTACTCATTACGTATTCTGTGCTATGAGCCACTTGCTTTTATTTACCGGTACGAAGCTGCCACTTGAAACCTTCCTATCACATCTACAGTTGCCGGTTCTTCGAATTATATGGCCACACCATTTAGCTTACTGACACTTAGGGCTATTTTAGTTACTTTGCTGTCGATATCATCATTTTAGCACGTAGAAAAACTCCGAGCATAAGTTCCACGTCTCAGAATCATGTGTTATAACTAGTAACATGCACTGTTGGGACACTCTTGATTTCAAGATTTTCAACTTTTGATAAATACACGACAAGAAGATGTGTTGTAATCTCCTAAGAACTTTTTCGGTCAATAATTCACCTCTCAGTCGAAGTTGGACTTACCTAGAAGGATTTGTCCTGTAAGAAATATTTGTCAACAATCTCGTTCCTTCTTCACCTTGCGTACGAACAACTACCGGTATATAGGTGTGATATGTAATTTGTTATAATCTCTGTCTTGTTCATGTTCGTTTTAAGATCAATCTGTTAGGAGGCCTTATTGATGCTAGTGAGCATAGTTCTGAGGTCCTTCGAGGATTCTGCCCAAAACCGAAGGGAGTCTTGCAGTGATATAATTAAGATTATTTTTTATTGATTATAAGTATCGAAAATTATCTCAAACCTATCCGTTTTCACTATCGATTAGAACTGGGCACACAAGGTGTTGCTTTTGAATTATTAAAATGTTATTTTTTTAATTAGATATTTCTATAGAAGACCAAATTAAAAAGATCCGCAGTCTAGTTTTCAGAGCTTCAAATTATATTAGTGTACAATTAATAACGTTTGTTATATCTTCTGAAAAAAATACCCCATAAGTGAAGACTTTTTTTTTTCTTAAACTATATAATAGTAAGAAAAATATAGTATCCAAAAACAGAGGAAGGCCTGTGCCCCAAGTAAAATAATACTAATACTTTGTTCAGATTTATTTCATATTGAAAAAGAATGTATAAGATATTACCTAACCACCAAGCGATGGTATTTAAATTAGGTAAGCTTATCTTTGGTAATAAAGTATTCCCATATATAACACATACACTCCTTTAAATATTTACACCATGTTGCTTAAATTTATCAATAAAAATAAACGTGTAAGAGAAAAGCGATGAAATTTTTCCAGACACCTCTCTAGGGAAATAAGACGTTAGGTTATTTTAGAGAATTACCAGCAGCGCCCTCGCAACCGATAGATCAGAGGGAGCTGCCTAATATATTCCACGATCTTGTGTCATCATCATCATCATCTTTACAGCCCTTCACAAGTCCACTGCTGAACATAGGCCTCCCCAAGGAATGCCACAAAGCACGGTCCTGAGCCACCTGCATCCATCAACTTCCTGCATGTGTTACCAGTTCGTCATTCCATTTAGTGGAAGGTCACCCTACACTTCACCTAAAGGTACGAAACTGCCACTCGAGAACCTTTTTTCCTCATCGGTTATCGGTTCTTGAGGTTATATGGCCGACCCGTTGCCACTTCAGCTTACTAATCTGTTGGGTTATATCGGTTACTCTAGTTCTAATGTGGATACCCACATTTCTAAATTTCTAAGTTTCTCAATTCCCTTGTGTTAGGTAAACAAAAGAATTGCCCTGATATGGGGGCAATATCTCTCAATGATCTTAATAAGCACTCCTCCTCGGCACCTATAGTCGACAACTCTACTAAACATAAAACCATTTCACTTATCTCATCCCTTCCCAAAATCGATGCAAACTGCTTTGCTTTTTCTCCAATAACTGATGAAGATGTTCGTAAAATTATTTTTTCAATTATATCTACAGCAGCTGGCTATGATCATGTGAGTAGAAATATGATTATTCCCATACTTGATTACATTCTCCCAATCATTACCCACATCATTAATTTTTCCTTTTCTACGGGGTGTTTTGCCATCTTTTTGGCGTAAAGCATTTATCCTTCCTCTTCCCAAGTTAAATAGTCCCAGTTCTGTAAACCATTTTCGACCAATTTCTATACATCCCTTTCTTTCAAAGATTTTAGAATCAGCTGCACACAAACAGCTATCCAGCTACATATATAAAAATAAACTTCTTAGTCCCTTACAATCTGGTTTTCGTCCCGGACATAGTACAACCTCAGCTCTCCTTAAAGTTCTCGAGGACGTACGAGAGAGTATGGAGGAGTCAAAATTAGTAGTTCTCATATTAATTGACTTCCTTAATGCTTTCTGTACAGTCGATCATGATATTCTTCTTGCTATCTGTAAATACATGGGTTTCTCTTCGTCAGTTTTGGATTGGTTATCAACTTATCTTCGTTCTCGCCAGCAAAGAGTTAGGGTCAATCAACAGTATTTTTCTGATTGGTCTGATCTTGCTACTGGCGTACCACAAGGCGGAATTCTTTCTCCTTTATTATTTGCGACTATCTCAAGCCATAATTCTCGGTAGCCCTCGTCGTCTAGCTAAATTAGACTTCAATTCACTGGAGCCTATTGTTTACAAATATTGATTATGCTGATGTGTGTTACTCTGATGTGAGTCAAGTACTTCTGTGCAAATTGGATCGATTGTTAAATAATTGCATCCGATTTATTTTTGACCTTCGTAAATACGATCATGTATCCTTATATCGTTCTAAGCTTAAATGGCTCCCTACCCAGAAGCGTAGATGCATCAGCATTCTTCGCACGCTATTTTCCATCCTATATGATACATGCACTCCTCAATACCTGAAATGCAAGTTTCAGTATTTGGGTTCTTCCCACGATCGTAACCTGAGATCCTCCAAGGGAAATACTTTATGTGTTTATCCTCGCTGTACTAAATTTATGTCTCAGTCTTTCGCCGCTGAGGCC